AGGCAGTATCACTACAGAAGTAGGATTGCCCACTCTTCCTTCCGAGGAGTGGCTGGTGGGTTTGAACCGCCAGCCTTCTGGTTAGCAGTCAAGTGCTTTAGCCACTATGCTACCAGAGCTCCTGATAAATTGTTAGGTGATGCTAATACTGTAGATCCAGGGACTACACTTTAAAAGGCAGTGGCTCTCAGAATGGCTGTTAAGTCTAATACTTGTGTGAAAAATACCAAAATAGAAAAACATCATTCCTTCTTACTGCCTGCCTGTCCTCATGTGATTCCCAGTCTAGCCTTAGTCTTGTATTTCTAATTGCACATTATACCTGTATTTAGGAATTCAATTTAAATATTCAGTTGGCACAATAAGCAATCAACTTGGGATATTAACTATTTTTCATATTCTGCTTCTTTGTTACATTGCTTCCAAACAGATCTTACAATCTGATCATGCCCTTTCCCAGGAATATATCTCTTCCTCACCTACTATAGAGCAATCACCCAAATGAATTTTAACTTAATGCCTCTGGCCCCTACTCCCACCCCCACTTTTTTAAGAGAGCGCAAAAGGCAGAACACTTGGAAAGTTAAATAGGAACAAACCAAAAAAACAAAAACCTAGGAATTTTGTGGTGAGAAGATAAATTTATTAAAACTAAATTTTCAGTGGGTACATAAAGTGCTAACTGATAAATGGAACTATCAGTCTAAGTAGAAACATTGTGGAAAGAATGTGCAAAGAAGGTGTTATACAGGAAAAGTAACAAGGGATGTCTCTGGGAGAAGAAATAAATGCCAGAATCAAAAGGGTACTTTTCAATCATTTACTTATTGTATATTTTAAATTTAAACAATTTAAATTTACCTGAGTTTTAAGTCATGTTTCTTAAGAAATTAAATTTTATTTTAAATTTACAGTGATGGCAACAAAATCATAGAATTTAATAATGGCCAAAGAGAACTACATACTGCCCAGTTCAAGAGACGGGAATATCCAGATGGCACTGTTAAAACTGTTTATGCAAACGGTCATCAGGAAACAAAGTATACATCTGGTCGAGTAAGAGTAAAAGACAAGGATGGTAATGTTCTAATGGATACAAAATTATAGTCATCCTTGGTTAATCATGAAATAACACTAACGATTTGTAAAAAATGTGTATCTTACAGATTTGGTTATTTATATAGACTGTGTGTGTGTGTTTCTGTACAAATGATAAAGATTATGTTTGGATCCTAAAAGTTTATAGCTTCTTCATTTTTATGGTTTTGAAAAGCACAAAAACAGCTTTCATTTATAATTCACCTACTCTGTTTTTTTTTTTTTTTTCAGTTAAATTCCTATGACTACGGGAAGCATTGTTAGTCATAAACTGTGCTTAGATTTTAAAAATAACAAATGAATGCTTTTCTTGGTGGGAGATGGTTATAAAAACCCAGAAGTACAAGGTTAACATATAGATGTCCTATAAGGCATAGCAGCCACAGAACACAAACTTGCAGAGTAAGTTTATGTAACTCTCTCTCTAGGTAAAATATTACTAGTTTCATTAGTACTAAAATTAAAGCACATGATGTACTACAGAGGTTATTGCAGTAAAATGGAGGTAAGGTTAAAAACAATGAATAAAATAAGTCAAGGAGTAAAACCGGTAAGAGTTCATCCTCTGAGTATGGATAATCTTATAGTAAGGAGAAACCAACTATAACTAGGGTGGCTATGTAATTTATGAGACACTTGAGAATGAAGGGCTACTTTACTAAAATAAAAAAAAATTAGCCATTGTTAACTGATCTACCACAACTACCTTAGTGTTTTAAGTTACAAAAGACTGTAGGTTAATGGAAACCAGATGTCCTTGATGGAAGGACAAGTCACCTTCATGGTCTAGATAAGAGCTAGACAGAGCTTAGCATAAATGTTGATAATGTTCAGTTAAGATAAAATAAAAAATTAATTAAGTGTATCAATTCTTCGTGATTTAAAAGAAATATGAAAACAAAACTTTAAAACATTTAGGAAAAAAGAGTGCTAAATTTATTCAGGATAGGAAAAGATTTATAAACACAACAACATAAAAACAAAATCCTTAAGGGAAAGACTAGTAAATCTCTGTTCATCAAAAGATGATACCACATAAAATGGAAAATACATGCCACAGACTAGGGGAAGATATGGGCAACATGTATGCCTGACAGTCTTATAAATCATTACAAACAACTGAAGTCTTTCTTTAACATTTACAACCTACTCAACAGAAAATAGAAAAATAGGTAAATATGAACAAGCAATAAACAATAATAAAAAAGTACCTAACTGCATTAACTACTGAACCACTGAATGCACATTAAAACCTTTTTATACTAGTGGCATATACTGGGCAAGTAAAAGTCTTGCAACACCATCTGTTGGCAAGGCACTTAGACTACTGAGGGCAGTGTAAATTGGTAAAACCACTTTTTGGAAAGCAAATAGTGACTATACACACTACAAAACCTTTCACATATACACAAGGGATCCTACAGAAAAATATTTGTAACAGAAAATAGAAACAACTATCTAACAGAATCGATAATTATGGTATTATACATACAGATGAATATAACATTCAAAATAAATAAAATAACTACAAACACCAACATGAATAAACAGCATAAACAAAATAGAGAATAAAAAATAATTGAGTGATACTACATATGTTTAAAAATATACAGAACAATACTACATATCGTGTATGGATGCGTTTATCTGTTGTTGCTGTTATGTGCCGTCAACTTGGACCTGACTCATAGCGACCCCTCCTTGGGTTTCTGAGGCAGTGTCACTACGGAAGTAGATTGCCCAACCTTCTTTCCAAGGAGTGGTTGGTGGGTTTGATCCACCAGCCTCTTGGTTAGCAGTCAAGTGCCTTAGGCACTATGCTACCAGAGCTCCCGCATTCATCTATAGTAAAATTATAAAGCCCCATAAGAGCATGATAATCACCACATTTATAATAGTGGTCACATTTCCAGTCACTGGGGCCTGCGGTGATACTGTCTTATTTCTAAAGTTGGATATACATTAGTTATAAGATGAACTAATATGTTTTTCACGTGTCTAAAATTGTTCAGTTTCAAATTAATAGTAAAATAAAACAAGAAAATTTTTGAAACAAAGTATTTATTAACTATATATTCAGATATTTAAAAAAAAATTCTTCTACTTCAACATGTGAGGAAAAAAAGATTGCAGTACTGCAGAACGAATCAAGAAAAATAAACCTGAAATTATCTAAGTATAACAAAACTTTCTTCTGGGCTGCTATAGATGCTCTGCATGGTATACAATATACCTGAAAGACAAGAAATATATGTGTGTTATTTTAAACCTTTGCTTAATGTTCAAATTTAGTTGCTGAAGTGCCCATTATATTTATGTGAGTGAAGCGGTTAACTGTTTACTCAATTACTTTAATAAATTTGTTGTTAGGACATTGATTGTTTCCATCGTGCTCTGTTCATACCATATATTTATGTGTTTAAATGATTTACAGTGCCTGCTCTCTTCTGCTTAACCCTGTTCCATTTCTGGTACCATGACAGCCTTGATAGGCATTCCAAGGACATATGGGACATCTCTGACACTGGTACTTAATAGGTGAGAAAGGCCTATGGAGAAGAAAGCTGGAAGAAAGATTCTTGTGGAACCTAGTTGTCGTTCCTCTGAGAAACTGAGTAAAATCCAAGGGTGCTTTTATAAGAAATTTAGCATTGATCTTTGCTATATTAGTCACATGCCTTTTGCTGACTGTAAGGGTTAACAAGAATTTTAATATACTCACATCATTCATCTCTGTCTGCGAGCCCCATTTCTACTAATGACATATGAACTGGATACTGTTCATCTTCATATAAGGTTACTATTTGTTCTGGTGCCTTAGCCTAAAATTAAAAGATAATGTCAAGAAAACACAAGAATGTCTTTGTTACCTATTCTTTGGCCATTCTTGAAGGAAAAGGCATTTTCTAGGTTTATTTGTAATTCTAAGGGGTCACTGATGGTTTGACCGTAGAATTCCCATCTTACATGAAGGAGACCCGAGTTTGATTACTGACCAGTGTACCTCATGTGCAGCCAGAACCCATTTAACAGGGGAGGCTTACACACTGCTACAATGCTGAACAGGTTTCAGTGGAGCTTCTAGACTAAGATGGACTAGGAAGAAAGGCCTGGCGATCGCTTTCTGAAAGTCAGCCACTGAAAACCCTGTGGATCACAGTGGTCCAATGTGTAAATGACCATGATCATGAGGAAGGCACAAGACCCAGCATTGTCACCATGAGGCAGGCACCACCCAGGCCACAAGGTTTTCTTCAACAGCCAAAAGGCTTTCATCCCTGTTAAAATTCACTAACATTGTACACTTAGAGCATTATCCTTTTGTGCATCAACTAACTGAATTTTGAATGTTATTCATAGAGGTGACTACATATCTATGTATCTTTTTTGCCATTAAGTCATTTCTGACTCACAATGACCCTAGAGTACAAAGCAGAACTGCCCCATAGGGTTTCCAAGGCTGTAATCTTTATGGAGGCAGACTGCCACATCTTTCTCCTGTGGAGTGGCTGGTAGGTTCAAACTGCTGATCTTTCAGTTAACAGCTGAGCAGTTAACCATCACACCACCCAGCTTCCTATCTATATACACAGATGTACATAAATCTTTAAGAAGGAGCTCTGGTGGCACAGTAAGGCATTTGGCTGTCAACCAGAAGGTTGCTAGTTCAAACCTGCCAGCTGCTCCACAGGAGGAAGATGAGGCAACCTACTTCTTTAAAGACTTACAGCCTTGAAAACCCAATAGGGGATGCTATAAATTGGAATTCACTCAATTGCGGTGGGGGACGTATCTATAAGAATACTTGCTCTCTCTGTATTTTCAGTCTTCTTAAGGGAAACCCTGCATAAGCTATTTACACTACCTTGCACACACAGCATGGTATGTACAGGGGTTTTCCAAAAGCATTTTCTAGTAGTGGCAGAGATTTGGTATGTCTCATTCTTGCGTAGTCAGTACTTCAGGAAAACTCCAAATCATGTGCCTTACAGGAACCAGGAAAGTATGAAAAAGGAATGAAGCAGGTTTGGTTGAGGAGGTGAGGATGATGGTGAACTGAAGAGCCTGTTCCCCACATAAAGGGGATTATTGCTATGCTACTTTAGCTGATTGCCCTTTGGGAAAGGAGGCCTAGGGTGCCTAGATTTTATAATATTTAATCAGAAGCCAGAAATAAAGATTTTTATAAAAATTTCCAATTTTTAAACATTATGCACTAAATAAAGTTGTAGCCATATTCTGTCTATGGTCTACTCCTTTGTGACATTCTAAGCCTCTAAAGAAGCAAGCATATTTGTATTAAAAACAATTTGGAGTTTCTTATTTGAAGCTTTTGATACAGGTGCTACTACATTAATTCTAAATAAGAACAATTAAGATTAGTAAAATTCAAGCCTTCCTATGATCTTGATGAGAACTCCCTTTCTGATCTTTCCTACTCACGTTTCAAGATGTAGCTCAAATATCACTTCCTGTCCTCATTCACTTGTTCAGTAAATACTAGAGTGTCTAGTAAGAAGTAGCTCAATCACCATTTTCTGATCTTTAAACAACAACAAACTACTTCCATTGAGTTGATTTTGACTCATAGTGACCCTATAAAACATTGCAGAACTGCCCCCATAGGGTTTCCAAGGCTGTAAATCTTTACAGAAGCAGACTGCTTCATCTTTCTCGCACCAAGCGCCTTGTGGGTTCCTCTGACCTGGTTAGCAGCCAAATGCTTTAACTACTCTGCCACGAGAGCACCTTTTGATCTTTTCTGAGGGAAATAATCCTTCCTTCTTGTCCCTCCCCTTTCCCCCAGAAAAGCTGCCTATACTTCTATTATAGTACTTATTTCCTATCTTTAATTGTTTAATGGCTCCCTCATTGGCTTACAGTTTCCTTGACTATAGGCTACTCATCTGGATCATTTTTACCTTATTCATAACATCAATTATATTATATTACTGTAGTGCTAAAATACCAATTGAGATATTTCAACAAACAGATGCCCCATTGAAGGC